ATCACACTCAACCGCAAAGTTTTAATTTTAGTTTTAATTTGAGAATATCAACAACAACAATTAGAAAATGTAAAAAATAATGTTTCAATCATGATAACATAATATAACAATATATCACAAGATAAAAAACATTAGACATGATTAAGATAAACATTGTTTGCCAAAGTATGTTTTTATACAAAATAAATGCAAGAAAATTGACCTACTGTGATTTTTCATTTAGGCAGTTGTCCATGTTCTTTGCCCCTTGTGCCATATCTGTGCTCTATTACCTGACAGTATTCAATTAAGTAGTGAGGAAGATTGCCATTTAATAAGTCATAGATGAAGGTTGAGACAGATCGAAAATAAAGGTTGTAAACATTTACAATTTTTATCTTTTGGAATAGGGGCTCCAAATGGTTACCTCTTGGGCTAAAGGTTATCGCTCTCATCGCCATAATTCCTGGCTAGACCATCATCCATTAGCATTCATGTAGGCACCCTACCTTTCAGCTGGGGCAAGCCATGGACTTCCCAGTGTTTATTTTCCTTCCCGATTCTTCCTATTTCCTTTTCAATTTTGTCAAATGTTTTTTCCCGATTTTTCCCGATTTTTCCCTTTTTTTTCTTCAAATCTCCTCTAATCTTCCTGATTTTTACAAACTTTGCTTGACATGGAAACTCCTCCCCCCCCCCCCTCTCCCCGCTCCCGTTTATGCTACTGTCATCATAAATAGCTAAGCGTTGCTGTGCCGGAAGTTTTGCAAAAGTGAAAGTCCGTTCATACAAGCATTGCGGTGCGGCATGACCGCAGTGCTGTACCGCAATAAAGTTTAAAATATCTTCTTAATTGAAATGCCATGACTTCGCGTTGAGTTGCGTCAAAAAATAATTTATATATCGGCAAGCATAAAACAATGTACCGCTCATAAACCGTCGCGTTTCGAGTAAAAATTCAGCTTAAGTCTAATGGACCGGTCAAATTACATATGTTTGGAAACTCGAAATTCAGTCCTTGTTTTCTCATGGTCAGGGATTTAGGACAGTCGGTAAAATGTGTACACTCTTTCTTTTCAACTGTAGAGCAATAATAAAGCCAAAATGATAAAGATGTGGACAAAAGTATTCACCAAATCGCGTGAATTGAGTTTGAATTTTAAATTTTCTTGGGCTAGGGAGAATGTTTCCCAGACAATCGACATCAGATACATTATATACCTTTAATAAAATGAAGGAAGTTGTTTGAACATTTTGTGAGGGGCAATACAAATATATAAAATAAAAGATGTATACAAATTTTAACACATCAAGATCTATGATAAGATTATTGTACTGTGTGACGCTATATTTCATTTATTATGCTTTGTTATTATTTTGATTGTCATCTACCGCCAAAGAGAACGACTTATTCTAATTTGTTATGTTATATAGACATTCAAAACTTATAATAAACCTTTGAACTTCATTATATATTATAAAAGTGCACCATTCAGAATCATTTATTTGTGTGTCCTATAAATTACTATAAAGAGGGAGGGGGATTCTGCGACAATCAAATCAACTCTACTGGCAAATAGGTTTGTGTATATAATTGTTTGTATAGCTTACCTGTATAGCCTCTGAGATGGAGAATCCTTTGTTGAAGCTTCGGAACTTCTAAAAACTTCAATACGACAGATTCGAGAAATCAAACAACGATCACTTCAAGTGAATTCCATAAAACGTGTACGTAAATACGTGTCATCATAAATCGGACATACCAATACCAAGTTTTCTTCTTTTGTTTCTTCCCAATTATAATAATTTCGATGTTTCGAAAGTTCATAAATGTCCGCAAGTGGTTATTTTTGTGTTCACATATGGTATATAATCCAGAAACGCATTTTATTTATGTTCGTTCAATTAATGTCAACGGAAATTATGACCCACATTCAACGTGATCTTATATACTACAACCAGCGCTACGGTCTCATACTTTCACTTTCACATGATGATCTTGCTGTTTCCTTAGCTATGGGAAGCAGGAAATTCCGCAGGAGATAACAAAATGAACAATTCAAACTGGATTTACTTGATGATAGGGATACCCGTAACGGAAATAAACTCAGATCCTTCAGAAAATAAAAAAATACAATCAAGCAAAACAAGTATTTATCCCATATATAAATTTCAGAAAAAATATCACCAAACAACGACTGAGCGCACACAACTGAATTACCCATAAAACGGGAAGATATAAAAGATCAGGAAAAACGCCCCCTTATACGATTCTATATAGACGGCAATATGAATCTAGTAGGAGATGAATTCCATATAATTATGAAATGTGATGAATATAAAGATTTACGGGTAGATTTTTTTTTTAATTAGCAATTTGGAAGAAAATTGTATTAACTTACATATCATGAGATTAGACAATAAAGATATGATAGATAGTTTCTCTTCGTTCACGAAAAACATAATTGCAGTAGGTGAGGGGTAACATCAAAATTCTGTGTAACAACAAAATAAAAATAAAATAAAAAAAGCCTTATTGAATTTGATAAAAGATAAGTGTACAACCCTATTATTTTTTCCGTATTTCTTTTATGTATTCGACCTAAGGGGGTCGCATTTATAGGTACTATTACGTCATAGTTGTAGGCGAAACGATTATCTATTGCATTCCATGTACCTCATTTACCTATTTTGTAAGCATGGGTTATAATTTATCAGAAAATTGCTATATTATGTTTTATATATCTAAATCTTCGGATGCATTATAATTTATGGTACATTATATTATTTACGTTATGCATTATGTGACATGTTATTACAAGAATAAAAAGATTCGTTTCTACTGTATATAATTTTCCTTCTGTTTTGCTACACTGCATTGTAAATTGATCTATCAACTTATGATATATATGTTTACAAACAGAATATGGATTAGTTACATTCGTTTTAAATAGATTTATATGTTTATAAACAGATTATCGGTGAACATCAATGAAGTTTGTACGGGGGTAATTTAAGCCTCGTCCATTTCTAAACGAAGAAATACATCGAATGGTTTGTGTATTAAACAAAAAGAAAGAAAAGAAGAACAAAATTGTTGATGGGCAGCCTTGTTGATCTGTTTCGATTGCCGGTTCTTAAAGAGAAAGTTCATTGGTTTAAAAAAACTAACTTTAAAGCTTATCTGTACTAGTTTACAGGAGGGATTAGAGCACTCTGCAAGGTCACTGGACAGGTGGTTATCTCATCAACTCAGCTCTCAAATAACATAAGAAAAACAGGATCATGGGGGACCAATAGTCACCGATTAGGCATTGTTTTCTATATAGAGGGAGCAAGTAGCAACAAGTAGTGCAGTGGGCCTTTAATGTCATTATTGCAAAGGTGACACTTTGATTGGCCAAGGTTATCAAAAGCCAATGCTTGGAAACATTCGAAATAATGATTATTAACACTTACAAAACGCTTAGATACAGCCCCGACATAGCACCTGAAGAGCTCCCCGGTCGTTGCTGAGATTATGACGTCACATCTTGAACATGACGATGTCCCATGACATCTCACACAATTTCAGTGCCTGTTTCATTCATCTTTTCTTCAGTTATTTCTCTTACTTAAATACCCTCAGGCAAAATGTTTAATCTATTGCCTCACTCTAAACCCCGTGCATGGTATTATTTTGATAAAAAATGCAACGATTAAAAAAAAGGAATCCATCGCTTGTAAACAAAATAAGACGCCATTGTATTTTCAGCTGCATACATCGCGGCATGTTCGGCGTTTCAAGAGGGAACAAAATGACGTCCATGCTATTCAGAGGTTTTTTAATTTGAAAGTGTGGTTTCTTTGATTCAATATTCAATTCAATTCAATTCAATTCATTTAATTTTCCTCTTTCAATCGTTTATATTTACAATGATGGTACATTTTAACATATTCACATATTTATATACATATAGATCAATTTGCACAATACAATACATTACAAAAATAAAAATGAAATTGAAAGGGAAGGAGGGCCGAAAAAAGGCTGAGCTTGTAGGGTGTAAGCCCCCCTGTAAAAGTAATTATTATGAATTATTATTTTATGAGAAAAAACAACAACAATAACAATAACTGATTCAGTAAAACGCAAAACATTGATATCATAAATACATACATCTTTATAAAAAAGAAACAATCAAAGTTGCATAAAGTAACACTACAACTTATATTTGATTGGGGAATGCAATAGCCTAGTAACTATTCAGAAGAAAGCTTTTATGTCTCCTTTTAAAAATTTGTATCGAATTACACTGTATATATCATTTTGAAAGAGAATTCCACAGTTTTGGACCTGTAAAAACAAATGTTCATTAACTCCTATCCTGTGTATACAAACAAAATAATTTAGTTATCAGAATGGGGGTCATATCCCTTTTTGAATGGTGTAAAATTCCATCACATTTATATACACTAAACTCATTATAATTTGAGAAATAAAAGCATTGCAATTATGTTCATTCTTTATGGGATGTCGTCTGCTTGGGCAGGGTTGGTTCATAATAATTGTGACGGCATTAAAACATTGTTATTTTCTGGCGAATCTCTCGCATATCCCAGATGCTATGGAGGTTGTTTTATATGTATTTTTATAAACCACCCGATTATGTAGTTGACCTAAAACTTGTGTGATGGCCATCTGTTAGCTTACAAGTCTCTAGTAATACGCTATTAGCCATATTTGTGATTTTCTATGAACCCGCACTTTAAAGGAAGATAAAGGAGAGAGAAATTAGGAAAGCCAAATTAATTAAGGGTCAAAGAAAAGAAAAGGATAGAAGAAATAGAAGGAAAAAAAGAAAGAGAGAGAGAGAAAGAAAGAAGAATAACAGGGAAGAAGATGAAGAAGAAAAAAAGAAGTAGAGAACAAAAGAAGAAGAGGATCCGGAGGAGGAGGAGGAAAGGGAGAGGGTGGGTGTTTTACATAGTTACCATGCATATAATATTGAGAATGCATTAATAACTGTCTGGAATGTAGGCTAGCCAAGCGCGCGTATCGACGCTCTGAACAACAAAAACAAATAGCTTTTCCATCATCCATCCAGGCAGGTCAGAGCTGAGTTCAAACTTGACAAAGCATTGTGTTTGGGTAAGAAAAAGATGTGACAATTGTTTTTAAAATGCTGAGATTGAGACAAACAATCATTTAACGGGAATGGAATGGTGACAGGAATGCATTCTATACACGTATTCACAAGAAAACTTGCATAACATTACGCATTTTTTAGGACTTCAGTCCCATGTGCTGAAAATCATGTCTGATTGTTGTCGAGTTCTTAGAATTACGGATACGGGCGTGTGCACGTGTGTGTTTGCAGGTGTTTGGATTGGAGTCGGGCTAACTCGGCCCACGGGACTACTCGGCCCAGCTGGAAAAACTGGGCCGAGATGTCCCGACCTGATTAATCGATCGAAAGATACCAATGTGTATATGTTTGTGCTCTTTGTGACTTAATAATGCCCTTTCCAACCTAAATCTTTAATGGAATTGTGTTAAATGATACTAATGAAGACAATCTATGACTTATCTTTAGGTAAAATGACAAAAAAATGACATTTCGGACAATTTACTCACAGCTCGCAATCCGCATTGCCGCACGTACATTAAATGTGCGTTGTATCTACTCGGACCACTGAAATTCGAGCAGTGTTTTTGTCGGAAAACCACTGCAAAAATATCATTTTTATCTCGTATGAAGGTCTATTTTTTATTCCTGACACAGATTTCATTATTGAGAAGTCGAATATAGTACATTTTAGACGAGATGGTTGATGTTTGTTCACATTCTTTCGTCCTGGCCGTAAATTAGCAGACTACTGCCTAGTGCTACCGCAGCAGCTCAGCTCAGTGTGCAGCTAGCCGTACAGCGCCGCCGGCCGGGTCGGCGCGGGAATTCACTGACTCGTGCCGGGCTGCTGCACTGCATTGCATGATTGTACTGCCCAATTTGATCGAGTGATGTGTGAGTATAACTAATCAAACTAGATCTATATCTACTGTATTATCATTATTCATTCCGAGTAGAATATCCAATTTGATTTAGTGAGTAAACTAGACCTAGATCTATATCTACTGTAGCTACATCATTATCATACACTAGATTAGTCATTCAGAGTAGAATATTCGATTAATATGAAGGAATGGAATTTTTCTTTTTCATAATCAGATAATCATATTTTACTCTTAAAAGTTAAAGACTTGATAAATAGCTAGATCTCTCGTAAGGGCCTAGCCTAGTACTGTAAGAGAAGTGAGCTGAAGAATCGCCTTCTTTTTTTTTATTTTGGAGGGGCAGGCGCGTAGCCAGGGAGGGGGGGGGCAGTGGGGGCGGTCGCCCCCCCCCCTCCCCCCCCAAAAAAAAAAAAAAAAAAGAAAAAGGAAGAGGACGTAGGAAGAAAAAGGATTAAGAGTCGAGAACGGTGCAACGAATCGTCTTCTTTCTCTAATTATTTGATGAAACATCAAAGCTTCCGCGCGGGAAGGGGGGACGGAACTAAATTCAGATAAGGATAAAGAGTCGAGAACGGTACAACGAAATGGGGTGGGTCCAGACAACTCGCCACAAAGACAACCCGCCACAATACCCTGGACATCCCGCCACAATACCCTGGACAACTCGCCACAGCCTTTTTGGACAACTCGCCACACTTTTTCCCATCATGATTTCTAGATCTAAAATGAAATGAAATTGTAATTTTTCATGATTTTTGTGCTTTTATAAACACAGTCATTACAAAGAATAAAGTTGATTTCCCTTTTAACAATAATATATATTGAAATGAAATTGTCATTTTTCATGATTTTTGTGCTTTTAAAAACACAGCAATTACAAAGAATAAAGTTGATTTCCCTTGTAACAATAATATACTTTTGATCTAGAGGTCTATAACAGCTGCATTTTTCTGTCCCAGAATTTTTTTAATGGTAGGATACTGGAAGCACTGGCGTACTGATAGGGGGGGGGGGGAGTGGGCAGTTGACCCGCGAAATAAAATTGGAATGTGGTTTATTTCTAGATTTTCTGGGTTAGTTTTGTCAGAGGCGGCATTCTTGGTTGGGGGGGGGGGAACACTGTGCCCCCACTTTTCCAGGTTCCCCTAAAGTGCCCCCTTATCCTTTGTACATGTCCTTTTCCCTTCTGATAATTTTTAATGGTAGGAATTCATGGAAGGATAGGCCTACTGGAAGCACTGGCGTACTGATGGGGAAGGGGGCAGTTGACCCTCGAAATAAAATTGAAATTTGGTTTATTTCTAGATTTTCTGGGTTAGTTTCGCACTTTTGCCCACAGTCAGAGGCGGTATTCTTGGTTGGGGGGGGGGGGGGCACTGTGCCTCCACTTTTTCAGGTTCCCCTAAAGTGCCCCCTTATCATTTTGTACATGTCCTTTTCCCTTCTGATAGGTGCCTACTTTTCTTTCTCAAATGTTTTAATTATAATGTTACTCATAATTACATAAAAGAACTTTTCAGTCTTTCTTCATTAAATTGTCTTTAATATTCATCATGTAATTTTTCAAATGGGACCTTACACTTTTAGCTCGCTTGCTCGAAAATCGATATTCAGTCCATCACACCAAATCGCGAAGTATGTTGCTTAAACAATAATGTTGTTCCACGTAAAGAAATAAACAAGTATTGATGTCATTCGTGGTAATGTATTCACAATCTTGACGAAGGCGTAGGCCTTTATACAAATATCTAAAAATGGTTTTTATTATTGTTGATGTGTCCCTTTGTAGGTGCCCCTTTTTCAGAAATCCAGCCATTCTTGCAATCATAGGCGCCAGAAGTGGGGGCAGGGGACTCGCCCTCCTCCCAACGAAAAAGTGTGTGTGTGGGGGGGGGGGGGTCAAAACGAATTTCCACTCCCCCCCCCCCCCAAAAAAAAAAAAAAAAAAAAAAAAATCAGCAATAAAGCAGTATAATTGATTACTATTTAGTAACCAAAAAGAACAAGAGTTGAGAGGAATGAAGATGATGAGAGGGATGGAGATGAGAGGGATGGAGATGATGAGAGGGATGGAGATGATGAGAGGGAAGGAGACAATGAGAGGGATGGAGATGGTGAGAGGGATGGAGATGGTGAGAGTGATGGAGATGATGAGAGGGATGGAGATGAAGAGAGGGATGGAGATGATGAGAGGGATGGAGATGGTGAGAGGGATGTAGATGATGAGAGGGATGGAGATGGTGAGAGGGATGGAGATGATGAGAGGGATGGAGATGATGAGAGGGATGAAGATGATGAGAGGGATGGAGATGGTGAGAGGGATGGAGATGGTGAGAGGGATGGAGATGATGAGAGGGATGGACATGATGAGAGGGATGGAGACAATGGGAAGGATGGAGATGATGAGAGGGATTGGTGAGGGATGGAGGGGATGAGAGGGAAAGAGACAATGTTGATGATGTAAGGGATGAAGACGTTGATGAGAGGGATTGGTGAGGGATTGAGACGGTGTGAGGAATGAAGATGATGAGAGGGATGGAGACGGTGTGAGGGATGGAGACGGTGTGAGGGATGGAGACAGTGTGAGGGATGAAGATGATGGGAGGGATGGAGATGGTGACAAGATGGTGAGAGGGATGGAGACGATGAGAGGGATGGAGACGGGAGGGATGGAGACGTCTCCATCCCTCTAATCATCAATATCGTCTTCATCCCTTACATCATCAAAATTGTCTCCATCCCTCACATCGTCTCCATCCCTCTCATCATCTCCATCCCTCACATTGTCTCCATCCCTCTCATCACCTCCATCCCTCACATTGTCTCCATCCCTTTCATTATCAATATCATCTCCATTCCTCTCATCATCAACATCCCTCACCAATCCCTCTCATCATCTCCATCCCTTACATCATCAACATTGTCTCCATTATGTATTATGCCACGTTGTGGAAATGCAATTTTATTTTTGTATTCATTATTTATTTATAGTATGTACATATTTACAGGTACACAAGATCAGATATAAATTTGTTAACCCCCAGCCCCCCCCCCCCCCCAAAAAAAAAAATTGTAACATGCAGATGACACGCCACACCATTCCTTGTGTTGTGGTATTGGTACGTATTATTTCATATGCAATTTACAAGGCCAAAAAAAATCTAAATAAATAAAGTTAAAACAATTAAATAAAAATGAGGACATGTTTGAAAAACACACATAATAGCAATAAACATTATTTGTTTATGACTCCAAGATACAAATTCCAACAATATGACGTCAAGCTGACTCAAAATAACAATTGATAAGCAGGTGTAATCGTGTTTTAATTTTATGCCACGTTGTGGTAATGCAATTATGTTTTTTTATTTATTATTTATTTATAGTATGTACATATTTACAGGTACACAAGATCAGATATAAATCTGTTAACCCCCAGCCCCCCCCCCCACAAAAAAAAATTGTAACATGCAGAGACCAGTACAGATGACACGCCACACCATTCCTTGTGTTGTGGTATTGGTATGTATTATTTCATATATGCAAGTTACAAGGCAAAAAAAACCTAAATAAATAAACAAAGTTAAAACAATTAAATAAAAATGAGGACATGTTTGAAAAACACACATAATAGCAATAAACATCATTTGTTTACGACTCCAAGATACAAACTCCAACAATATGACGTAAAGCAGACTCATAACAAATGATAAGCAGGTGTAATCGTGTATTAATTTTATGCCACGTTGTGGTAATGCAATTTTGTTTTTTTATTTATTATTTATTTATAGTATACATATTTATACAGGTACACAGATATCAGTTATAAATCTGTTAACCCCCAGCCCCCCCCCCCCCAAAAAAAATTGTAACATGCAGAAACCAGTACAGATGACACGCCACACCATTCCTTGTGTTGTGGTATTGGTATGTATTATTTCATATATGCAAGTTACAAGGCAAAAAAAAACCTAAATAAATAAACAAAGTTAGAACAATTAAATAAAAATGAGGACATGTTTGAAAAAAAGATTAAAAAGGGCACTTATTCAAGATTATTTCAAGATTTATGAGAATGGAAAATGGACACTTATTGCAAAGGAAAATGGGAACATGCCGAAGGAAAAGGGGCACGT